GTCCTAGCTGATTGGCTGGGTCTTCTTTTGTTGCCCTGCACAGGAGAATGGAGCTGGAAAGCAGGTTAGTGGGGTGGGGAGGGAATGGGGATTTTGCAGAATCCTTCCCCTGCCACACTCACCAAGCCGTGCCCACCAAGCCACGTCATGCCCACCAAGCCACGCCCACAGAACCGGTAGTAAAAAGTTTTGAATCCCACCATTGCCCCAAACTGCTTAGATTAGAAGAACGACCAACCTGTATTTGATTGGGAGAGGTTTGTTGTTGCTGTTGTAATTATTATTATTCAGAAGAAAGCCAGTTTTGTCTGGTGGTTAAGGCATCAGGCATGAAACCAGGAGACTGTAAGTTCTAATCCAACCTTAGGCATGGAAGCCAGCTGGGTGGTTTTGGGCTAGTCGCTCTCTCTCAAGCCAACCCCCCTCACAGAACTGTTGTTATGAGGAAAATAGATGGAAGAAGGAATATTGTGTATGCTCACTGCCATAAGTTATTTATAAAAATAATAAAGTTGGAAAAGTTAAATTAAGAAAACAACTTGCCAGAGTTTAGATGATATTATGAAATATTCACATAATGCAGAGGGAAAAATCAGTACTCTGAAGTATGCTTCTGTCACTGAAATCATATTCATGTTTATTACCCTACATCAGTTTTATTCCTGAGTAGCCATCACATCTGTACATTTATTTATTATTTGTTTATTTGTTAAATTTGTTTGCCACCTATCTCATCATGAGGGTACACTAGGTGGAGAGAAGGACCAGGGGAGACATGATAGCACTGTTCCAATATTTGAGGGGCTGCCACAGAGAGGAAGGAGTCAAGCTATTTTCCAAAGCACCCGAAGGCCAGACAAGGAATAATGGATGGAAACTGAACAAGGAGAGATTCAACCTGGAAATAAGGAGAAACTTTCTGACAGTGAGAACAATCAACCAATGGAACACCTTGCCCTCGGAAGTTGTGGGAGCGCCATCACTTGAAACTTTCAAGAAGAGATTATCTGTCAAAAATGGTGTAGGGGTGTGGTGGGGTGTTGGACTAGATGACCTACAAGATCCCTTTCAGAAGTGGTATTCAGCAGGTTCTGACTAGTTCTGGTGAACCAGTAGCGGAAAGTTTGAGTAGTTTGGAGAACCGGCAAATACCACCTCTGACTGGAGATTTTACAGTATCCTTCCCCTGCCATGCCCACCAAGCCATGCCCACAGAACCGGTAGTGAAAAAAATTGAATCCCACCACTGGTCCCTTCCAACTCTGTTAATCTGTTATCTGGCTTACAATAAAAATGAAGAAACAAAAAGTGTAAATGTAACAGTAACAAAGTGATGGAACAATAAATTAAACAATGAAAAAGAAAACAATATGAATACAGTGATATGGGAATAAAAGATGGGCAGATGGGGAATCAGGGAGCAATGGAGGGGAGGTTTGCTATCAATCTAATCACCACTTCTAGTGTGGTATTCCCGCATTGGGGTTCCCAGGTCGACCAACAGAGGCAGGTCTTCAGGCTCTTATGAAAGGAGAGGCGGGTGGAGGAAGATCTCAACTTGGAGGTTGGATGTTCCAAAGGTCAGCAGAGAAAGCTCTTCTTCTGGATCCCGATAGTCGGAGTTCTTGGACTGATGGGATCTGAAGTAGGCCCTCTCTGCTGGCACAAGGGTCAGCTTCAGTGGTGGGATTCAATTTTTTTTACAACTGGTCCTGTGGGTGTGGCCTGGTGGGTGTGGCAAGGGAAGGATACAGTAAAATCTCCAGTCAGAGGTGGGATTTGCCGGTTCTCCAAACTACTCAAAATTTTCGCTACCGGTTCTCCAGTACTGGTCAGAACCTGCTGAATAATACCACCTCTGGTCAGCTTGTCCTAGCAGGATGAGATGGTTCATCAGGTAGCCTGGAACTGTCTTATTAAGAGCTTTAAGGGCCATAACCAACACCTTGAACTACACCTGGAAGCAGACCAGCAGCCAGTATACTTTGCAGAGCAGAGGTGTACGTTGTATATATAACATTTGGGATTATTTTAAGATGAATGTCTATTCAATATTCATCTCAAGCCCTGCTTGTGAATAGAGGCTCAGAGATTTCAAGGTTTGATCTTTGTCACAAAGATAGAGCAGCAATTTTCAGTCAAGACTTTTTCTCCTAGGTGTTTAAAATAAGAATAATAATTACTGTCCTCCTTTTGTTTCTTGTTTTAAGAAACCAACTTTACTGGACACAACCTTAAAAGAAAAATCTAGTTTGTTAATCTCCAAAACAGCCTTACGCTGCATATTATATAAGCGTGGCTCGACTTTTTCTTCTCTTCCTGCATTCTCCAGGCAGCTATTAACTGCATACATATGGCTAATTGTACACTGTGGTATAATGATGTGCGCTGTAGAAACAGCAAAGTTTTCCATTCCCTTCATCTACAGGTGATGTCTGATGCCCTGGACAGAATAATGAATGTGGCTGCAAGAATCCCTCAGGGCTTCTTGTGATTCATTCATTCCACTGCAGACTTTCTGGAATGGATCCCTTCGAGACTGGCCAGCCAGCGGAGTGGAAGGACTATTTGGCAGAAGGCTCTTGTTTTTCTTCTCCCCACTCCCCAATGAAGCATTTCCAAATATTAACTCTCTTGCCACTTCTCCATACTAACAATTCCCAAAAGTGGGAGGAGGCATTAAGTATTTTTGTTGTAGTGGAAAACAACCTTGATGTCTGATTTGAAACTGGGATCAAAATAAATGGCTTGGACCAATGGTGTGTGCTGCCCAGAACAATCACTGGGAGAGTATTTAGTCCCTTTGAAAGAACAGATGTGGATAGTGAGGTACATCTGTCTAGGTTTGCAGCCCGGACAATGCTGCTAGCCACCTGGCTATGTGCCTCCAACTGGTCCCCTCCTCCTCCTTCTAATTCCTTGCTTCAAGACATAACAGCAGAAGGGAGGTGCTGCTGGCATCTCCTCCTGAACTGAATGAATGCAGTAGCCCCGACTGATGTTGTTTGAAATGGCAGGGTTTGAAGGGAAAAGCACGTGCCAAATTATTTGTATCTCAAATGCAAGCAGAATCCTATTGTATCCAACTTTAAAGCCCTCTCACTTCTTGCAGATCCAGTGGGATCAGCTAGGTGTTTCCAAAATCTCTAGGCCAGCGGTTCCCAAACTTGTTTTGGTCATGGAACCTTCAGAAGACACACACACCCTGTGGAACCCTAGACTACCAAATCAACAAACACAAAATCACAACATCGCCGACATATAACCAACCATAGTTTTTGGATACCTCTTAAATTCTTTCCCTCTTTCTCTGCCATCCATTCAGAGACCATTTCTCCACTGAGTACTTGAAAAGACAGGTGCTTTCTTCTCCTCACAGTCCTCCCTCAGTACCTGGCCAGTTGCTACCACTACTCTTTCAACATCTTGCTCTTTGCTGGCTTCTCCAGGCATCCCTAGCTTCTCCTTGGGGATGCGGAATGATAGGAGGTAAGCAGTGGTGGGATTCATTTTTTTTAACTACCGGTTCTGTGGGCGTGGCTTGGTGGGCGTGGCAGGGGAAGGATACTGTAAAATCTCCAGTCAGAGGTGGCACTTGCCGGTTTTCTGAACTACTCAAAAGTTCCACTACTGGTTCTCCAGAACTGGTCAGGACCTGCTGAATAATACCACCTCTGGAGATAAGTAGTTGGATACATTTGAAAGGAGCAAGGTCAGGAAAGTCTGGCGCATGACATCCTTGTTACTGTGCCTCCCTTTCCCCTTTATTTTCCACCTGGTAAGGCTCTGGCCTTTATAACATCACTGGTTGCCATGGGAATCACCTCAAGTGAGCTCCAGTACAGTTGAGACATTGCAACAGGACTCAAGTCACCCAACAATATGCCTGAAGAAAGAAGAGAAGAAAGGAAAGTATAGTTGCTCTATTTCTTTGCTAAGTAACTGTTAGGGTTTGGGAATTAACCCCTAGCATAGTATTGCAGCAGTAGT